GGATCTATGTTTGCACTTTGATTTTAACTTCATCTTTGAGAATGAGGAACCGTTAATGGTGCTCATTTTAAAGCCACAAGGTCTTTTTAGAATTATTGAAATCGGCCAGGTTCGAAGGTGGATAAGTTCATTTAATACCGACAGTGTATCATGGACAGATATATCTATTTACCTGATTTATCTGCTGATGCATTTAGTCCATTTGTGCATCTAGGATTTTGCATATTAATAGCGACAAATTTTGTAACTTTGTAAGATGCATCCTTTCCCGAACTCAACTCACTGAATCGGAACAAAAATGATTTTGACTTCATGTACGAGAATGAGGAAACTTAAATGTACTCATTTGCTTTTATAATTATTGAAGTCGACCATGTTGAAGGTGGATAATTTCATCGAATACCGACAGTAATCAGACTTCTAAAGGAGTGTATCATGGACATATATAGCCATCTACCTGATTTAAAGCTGATGCATTTAATCCATTGTTGCTTGTAGGATTTGCATTATTATATCAATAAATTTTATAACTTCGAGAAATGCATATTTTCCGTAGCTCAACTTACAGAATTGAAACAAAAACCAATTATTAACTGTAAAGAATTTTTTTCCGAAGGAAAAATCCTTCCATGTTAAACATATGTTTTACATTGAGAAGCATTGGAGCATGTCAATCCACCGAGTCGAGCTACATATCTTCATTAGTTGTATGACTCGTTGTGTTAGTTTATGTAAATTATATTTCTTTTGGGGTGCATGCTTGTCATATTTGATAAGCCATTTTGTGTTTGCTGCTTTTTACATTGTTTTGCAATCCTATTATTCAATGAAGGATGTAATTGATTATAGTATTTGCTAATTGTTTTTTTCTCTTGAAATACATCTGAAAGAATGCTACGTAACACATGAAATTTCAACTACGATGTTTAGGATGGTTGTCAAGGTTGTTAGCATAAGCAGACAATATGTGCTGCTTATTTTTTGCCAAATGATTATATCTTTTCTTCATACCATTACCAGATTTGTGTGCTATCATTCTTGTAGTGCCGTTCGCCTTATGCTCTGGAAGAGTTTTAAATTTGTTCCTCACGTGTGGCATGGGATTGGTCTAATGCTCTGTATCCACTACCCAGCATATCTCTATATTCTTACTTTCTGTAATTAAATCAATCGTTTTGCTCATTTATTATCCGAATGAAAGCCAGTCCTGCCGCGATATATGCACTTATATCATAACACTGCCTAGCGTTTGAGTTGCTTCTTTTGTATTTCAAACTCTTGGCTAATTTTACGTAGATTCTGGATAATTTGTTGAATGTTTACCTTTTTGCCGGCCAGCTCGCTTTCGGAGTTTGGAGTTTTGGGATTTGAATTAGGTTATTCCATGGAAAACCCCAACTCTCTGGTATTGTGGGAAGCCCAATTTGGTGATTTTGCCAATGGGGCTCAGGTGATATTTGATCAATTTCTCAGCAGTGGGGAGTCAAAATGGTTGCGGCAGACAGGATTAGTTGTTCTTCTACCTCATGGTTATGACGGCCAAGGCCCTGAACACTCGAGTGCACGTTTGGAACGTTTTCTCCAGGTGTTGCCCTTTTTCTCCTTGATGGTTTTTTCCCTTTGTGGGATTATATTGCTTAGTCTATCTACTCTTTTCCTTTCAACCTTTTCTGTTCTTTGGGTATATGGATGTATATAGATGTGCTTTCCATGTGTCTGTGTGTCATTTATCCGTAGGAGGAGGAGGGATTAGTTAAAGAAATGTTAGTGCAACAAAAAATAACAAACCCATTTCACCACACTATCAAATTTTGAACCTAAACTAATGAAGTAACTTTATGTTGGAATTGGTATTATCTGAATCTGCCTTTATTCCATGTCTTTTATATATCTGCTTTACCACATCCGATCAAGAAGTTCTGGGGTGGCCTTGAAATATCTTCTAAGGAGGGTGTTACATGAAAATCATGTTTTTGTTTTTCTTATGGTTTTCGATTGTTTTTGAACTTGTACATTTATTAGAATTATACACGTCGTGATCATCATATTTTCAACCACATTTAAGTTTGTTTTTCTGACTTTAGTTCACTTGAATCGGTTGCTAGTCCAAGAAATTGAATTTAACCCATCACATTGTAAAACTTGATTTCAGATGAGTGATGACAATCCTTATATTATCCCTGAGATGGATCCTACCCTTAGGAAACAAATACAGGAGTGCAATTGGCAGGTGGTGAATGTCACCACTCCTGCAAATTATTTCCATGTTTTGCGGCGCCAAGTGAGTAGAACTAACTGGACTAATATTTGTGCTCTTATATTAGATCGTCCTGATTTGCTCATCTTTCACATCTTCATGCTTTAGATACATAGGGAATTCCGCAAGCCTCTCATTGTGATGTCACCAAAGAACTTACTTCGTCACAAGGACTGTAAGTCAAATTTATCTGAGTTTGACGATGTTCAAGGCCATCCAGGATTTGACAAACAAGGGACCAGATTTAAACGCCTGATAAAGGACCAAAATGACCACTCAGAGCTTGAAGAGGGCATTAGACGTCTGATTCTTTGCTCAGGAAAGGTGTGAAACACTATTCTTCTTGCTTTTTTTGTGTCTATCCCTTCCATTTCAAATTTTATGTACAGAAGCATTTTTGCTGCAGGTTTATTACGAGCTTGATGAGGAGAGGAAGAAAACCAATGGAAAGGACATAGCAATTTGTAGGGTGGAGCAGCTTTGCCCCTTCCCTTATGACCTTGTCCAGCGGGAACTTAAGCGATATCCAAGTATGTCTTTTAAATTAACAATTATATTATCCTGTTAGAAGTATTTCAATCCTTTTCTTCCAAATACACATTAACACTAACGTGTAAGCTAATCCATGATTGTTGGATTAAGGGGAATGCTATCAAGATATCTCAACTAAAATTAATTTAGGCACTAGAAAAATGGATTCAAGATCAAAGACAGTTTTTTTCTAGCCACCAGGACTAACTTGACTCATCCAGCCAATTCATTTTGGTTCTGTTTTTCTGTGTGATTCTTCCAGACGCAGAGATTGTTTGGTGTCAGGAAGAGCCAATGAACATGGGAGCCTACAATCACATTGCACCTCGTCTATGTACTGCGATGAAAGCACTGGGAAGGGGCACTATGGATGACATCAAGTATGTGGGCCGTGCTCCATCTGCTGCCACAGCTACCGGTTTTTACCAGGTTCATGTCAAAGAGCAGACCGAACTAGTTCAGAAAGCTGTACAGCCTGATCCAATCGAATTTCCATGAACTTTCGGCGTACAACAAAAGAATTTTGAACTGAAATTTCATGTTAATATTTTTAAGCACTCAGTTTCTGTTGGTTCTTTGAAAAGGTATTTCAAGAGGCTATTTGTTTACGACATCAATTTTCACATGAAGTGAACAATCATGCTTCCGAGTTTCTTCTGTTTGTTACCAAATGTAAGAATAAAATGTACTGAATGAATATGATCGTTGAGAAAGTATCTTTGCTTCCTCCAACCAAGAGTTCAGTCTTTAATGTGTATGCCTTTTTATCAGTTCTTGTCCGAATTCACTGTTGGGTTATTAGCCGAATTTTTTGTCACTCTGTAAAATGGATTCGATCCCTATGAGTAGTTATTATGCTCACTGTAGATGTGGCAACACCAGGTGTTGCCACATCATATTCCCACCGTTGATGTGGCAACATCAAATATTGTCACACCCACAGTGGGCATAATAACTACAATCATGTCTGGTGTACAATTATGGATGATAATCTTGTTGACAACGTCACGTGACAAATTGTTTAAACGGTATGAAAAACTTGTTTTTGTAACCAAAAGTTTTTTGACAACACATACATTGTCAATCACACTGTCATTAATGGTTGTACAAATATATTAATCACAATAACTCATGTTCACTGTGGACAGGATATCATCGTTGCTCTGTAAAATACTCATCTCGGAGTGGATGTACAAATATTTGTTTTCCTTAATGTGAAAGTATAATTCAAGTTACAATATTCCTCTTTAAGGACTCCTGTCTGTCAATTTTTCATTTTGTCTGTGTGCAAATTTTAGCAAAAAACTCGTATTATACAATTTGTTTGTATACTACAAATGCATGAATAAGATCGACAAATTTATCTCTGTTGATTGATTGTTAAAAGGCAAATTGGTTTGATAATATTCAATCCAAATAATTTTACTGTATGTGATTTGTTAATTAAAAGTTAAAAATAAGTTAATTATTTGAAAGGAACCTGCAAAATAAGCACTTTTTTCGTAAGTATGATTCTAAGAAGTAAATTCTCCGACTATAAAATAAAGCAAATTTTACTTGCTTGTAAACTTAGCCAGAGGTGCTCCCTGTTGGAAGTCCTTGGAGAATGATTTCTCTCTCTTAAAATTGACGTTGACAAAGGATCTCAAAACAAAATGCAAACTGCCATTATAAATTAAGTATAATTCTGCTACTGTAAAATAAGTAAAATTTCTGCAATTTTAAAGTTTTTATAGACTTAATTACGTTACACGTAAATTCTCTTGTTTATGCTTAATGGGAATGCATCAGCAAAAATATATTATCACAAAATTTCTGCTACCAAAATCAGTCAATCCCTTAATAAATATTACTCTTTTCTCACCTTGAAGCCTCATAGATTTTGTATTCTTCAAAAGCACAAAGGTATCTTTGGAAATAAGCATCTCAAAAATGTTTTTACTTTTTAATTTGCATATGTAGGCTTGATGCACTACATCAACTCAAATAAAATGATCAAGTCCCTAATGAGGGCTATTACTTGAAAATCTAAAGGCTGATCAAGATAACGAACGTGCCATTCATAAGTTCAATGAGTGTCCATTAATCCCTTTTTATAGAAATACGAACTTTGTGAAAGTTCAAGTGAAGAACAATGACAAAATCTTCCAATTTGTATAGAAAAAATGAGTAAAAATTGTTGAATGTAAAAACGATTATCACTATGGAGTTACTACTCAAGATCCGCGAAACCAAAAGTATCAATCAGATCAGATGCTTTTGGCTGGTGAATTATCTTTTCAAAAATGTGACTGAAACATTTATCATGAATTAGTGCGTCAAAGAGTTTATCTTCAGTGACAATCTTTGATGTCTCGCTATGGCAAGTCAGTCCATACGTAGGAGAAAAAATCAGTTGTGATATCCGATCCTTCTGAGCCTGTGATGCATATTTTTTGAGCTCCATGGTCTCAGATGTGATGAGGTGATATACGTAAACAGCCTTTTTCTGACCAAGCCTGTATGCCCGGCTTATGGCCTGCCTTTCAACCGCAGGGTTCCAGACACTATCGAGCAATACAACTCTTGAAGCCCCAACCAAGTTTATACCTTCAGAACAAGCTTTTTGTGATGCAAGAAGCACCTTAGCTTCACTCGAATCATTATTGAAAGCATTGATAGAAGATTGACGCTGATTCTGGTCAAGTTTCCCGTCCATGTACAGCACTTCTCTTCCTTCCTTCCAAGAAAAATGAGACTGAAGCTGATGCTTGATAAAGACTAAATTATCAATAAACTGACTGAAGACCAACACCCTCTCACCAAGAGCATCAGCTAGCCAGATTAGTTTAGTAACAAACTTCATTTTTACTCCTGCATCAATTTTTGATTCAATCTCCTTTAGCTTCCTCTTATGAGCAGAGAACATTCTTTCTTCAGCCACCAACGAAGGGTGGACAGAGATCAAGGACACCACACGAACCATATGAAGAAAGACCCGTTCTTCTGAAGCGATTTCCAGTAAAGATTTTTGCAGTTCAGTTGGCCGCAAGAAAACCAGAGAATCCCTCATTCCAGGAAGACTTTCTTGAAGAATAGTTCCTTTATGTACGTGCACAAGTGGGTCAATCATTTTTCTAAGCTTCATTAATCCACCGTCCGTAGTTTTACGGATAGACTTCGTCAAACTTGTCCATTTTCCCCGAGCAACATTTTTGTTTGGCCTACCCCTTCTGCAACTTTGATAAATTCCAGTGATCTGATCGGCAAACTTTGGATTAACTAGGTACAGTGTATTGTAAAGCTCTTCAAAATTATTCTGGAAAGGAGTACCAGATAATATTATGCGCCGGTTTGTGGCAACATTTGTTAAAGCCTTCCACATAAGACTTTGGTCATTGCGAGGGGTGTGTCCTTCATCAAGCACTAAAATGCCAGGAGATTTAAGCAGTATATTCCTGATCTGATCATGTTGTCCTTCTCCCCGATGCTCTCCAGCAAGCTTCTCAAACAGTGTGTAGCTGACTCCTAGAACACTTCTACCCTTCACCCAAGAGTACAACTTAATTAAACGAAAGTAGTCCCAGCTCCTCCCATTATAGCCCACTTTGCTAACAATTTTAGCAGAAAAAGCATTTTCCTCCGGAGATAACTCCATCGTATTCAAATTGTGAAAAGGTATCTTAACACCCCATTTTTTGAATTCATCTTGCCAGGTGAGGAGCATGCCACGGGGAGCTATAATTACTGGTCGGCATGTTGGATAGAGTTTCATGAATGCTTGGAGGAACACTATGGTGAGTAGGGATTTACCCGTACCAGGAGCATGTGAAATAATGCATCCTTTACCATCACCAGAAAGCGGCTTTCTCAATTTCTTGATGAAGATGTCTCCAGCTATGGATTTCCACATAAATTCAAACCCTTCCCGTTGATGAGGATACAATTTGCTTTTAGTGTCACGAATCAATTCCCACACTGTGTCTCCGTCATGACTGGACGAAGAACTGGGATTTCCACAAGACGAGTCATGAAACTGAAACCGATCGAAGATACAGCTATGTGATTCACCCAAGTCTTTTCTTTCCTGTCTCCCAGGTCTCCCAGAAGGTGCCGTATACTGCACAAGATACAATTATATAACGTTGACCAAATTAAGCTGCAAACTGGTAAAAAAAAAAAAAAAATAGACAGTAAAATTGGGGAGGACCGTGTGCATGTTTGTCTGGAGTAAAAATAATTTGCTTATTAATAAATAATACTTTTAGAAAATTACAGTTGAAAATTTATAAGTTACTTATTATGAGAATATCCCCTACGCTACGGTCAAAGTAACCTCTTTTTTACTTAAAATGAGAACAAAAGTAACATATAAAACACGTTTTCTAACAAAAAACTAGTTAAAAATGTTGAGTTAGTAATGCAGATTTAGGTCAAAAAATTGAAAAGTTGAAACTTTTTAATGCCTGGTAAGATTTTTTCAAGTCAGTGTTTACCTCAACAGCTGTTATATTATGCATTTAATCTTAGCTACAAGATATTGCTTTATATGCGCAGCTCTAGAGTCATTAAAACAGTCTATAAGCTAAAATCTCCACAATTCCACACGAAGAATGATTCGTTAACCGAACGCTACAATTTAACGGTATCAATATGTCTAAAATATCTGTCTATGCTCAAACATACTTCAAGACTATGCATGTGGATTAGGCGAATCAACAATTAAATTACTTGAGTAACAGCAGATCTATACAACCAAAAAATCCTTATATTGTACATTACAATGTCATGGGGCCAAACTCAATACAGAAGGCATTGACTGAATAATCTAGCATGTATCCAGTATCCTTAACAACCCTCCTATTGGAGTATATTCTTACTTAAAAAAAAAATGTTGCATAAGGGATCCGAAAGTACCTAGCACCCAAAAAGCCAGAAAACTGAGTAAACAGATTCATTGATATTAATGATGAGAAGGGACCTTTTTATTAAGCTAAAAGGGCCAAGTTCATTACTTACAAAAGGTGGCAAGACATCTTCAATTTCCAGAAGCACAATGGAACAATATTTGCATTTAATTCCTATCTGTTCATCGAGAAGAGGATAGTGCTCCCCTCGACTACAACAGGATGCCAGAGTGCTGTCAATATCTTGGGGGATGATGTCGTCATTATCACCATCTCCAATCTGCAGATCAGCAAGCCAAAATTAGTACCTATTAGGCTACTAGATAAATTGCACAAAAGGTAAACACCAATATTGAAAATGAATTTCTGCATCTGTCCCCCGACATTTCAGAACAGGAAAAAAGAGATAAAAGAATTCAGGAACAAAAAAGGACAGCAAGTAATATCACACCCATAATAAAAAAAAATTCATGCTTAAATCGATAATAACTGACATTGATCTTTGCAATCTTCACAGACAATAACAAGTGTTGTAGAGAAAATTCTCTACAAAATTTAGCTGAAGGGTGTCTGAATACATGATTGCATGTGAATATTTCATGTAGCGAGAGAACCTGTGGATATAATCTTGAGGAACAATTATCCAAAGGTGCAACTTGCATCTCCAGCCATATGTCTAAATAATAAACGGCAAAATGAAAAAGAGATAGAAAACATATACCTCATTTTGGTAGATCGAAGACAGAGAGAAGATTTGGAAATTCAAAAGAATATTTCAACACCGAAATCATGAACTATATTATTTTGACAATAAATTAAGGATTGGCCTTTTAAAATTTTCAGTTGCTCATATCTTTTGAAATAATCTGCATTTGGTTTGCCTAAGAATGTAATCAATTTGAGATTAAATTAGAATTCTGGTGGAGAATCAACAACCGAGTAAGAATGCTCCAAGGGACTTTGGAAGAAGAGCAATGAGCGTAGTCTTGAACTCTTCCTCTTTTGTGCTGTGCGAGCACTATGGTTTTCATCGACAATGAGCTCAAAAACTGATCTCGACTTTATCCCTCTATTGCCTGTCGTAGCTGACTTGAGAACTACGAAGCTCGGATAAACTGCAGCTATCCTTAAGTAGAGCAGTTCTCCTTCAGTGCCAGGCTCTATGAAGCAAGGCAAGCTAGGCTGCTCCATTATAATTGAGTTTTGGAGAAAATGTATTTTGGAATAGTGATTTTTGGAGAATATGTGGTTAAAAAGTAAGAAAAAGTTTCGGGTTTACGTGTGATATTATTTTATTGAAGAGTGTAGCTAAAAATAAGAAAGAGAAAAATGAGTTTTTTTCTAAAACGGAGCCCAAACAATATATCCCTTCCAATTGCTGCAGAATGGACCAAATAATTGATTACATTTAGAATACCTACCAAAGTAGTAGTTCATTTCTACATAGAAATATATACAATAAAATTCTGATTACCACCATAGAATGAATTCAGAAAGAAACACACACAAAAAAGAAAAACAAATTTAGTAATACAAGAAGTAAAAACTAGAAGTATTACAATTTAAATAAAAACTAACGTCATCCCAAGATTAAAGTCACCTAAAATCAAATCAAGAAGGAGCTGAAATTACCGTTGAAGGATTCATGCAGACAGGCTCACTTTCCCTGAGTCCCATATTCAAATCACAGAAAAGAGAATCAATTTCTTTCTCCCATTCTGATTTCACCTGAGGAAATGGTTCTTCATCCTCGAATCTGAACTTCAATGGCAAGGATTTCAGATTATAATCAACAGTAGCTAAACTTTCTATGGCTACATCTGCTTCTTTCTCTATGAAATCAACCAATGTCTTAATCGATTCAGCATTTTTTGCTGCACTAGTGTTTTTCTTACCAAATTTCCCCACCTTTCTTGTACCTTTCTGACCAGTTCTTTGCAAACATTTAGTACTACAGCTCTCCTTCTTTGTTGATAACTTAGACTCCACATCCAGTGAAGAGTTTGATTCCTCACCCTCAGAGATAAGAAGTGGCCGACTAAACGTTCTAAGTTTAAGCTTTTCCTTTGAAGACTTAGAAATCCAACGAGGCCGTGGACGTTTTGCAATACAATTTTGCTCTTTATCAAACTTATTCTTGCAAGTGACCAAATTTTTTAAGCCAGAAAATTTTCTCTTCTTTAAACTACCCAAGATGAACTCATCATTCTCCTCCTTGCTCGATTTCACAGTGCTAGGAGAGTCATCACTAGAGCTCGATGAATAAACAACCTTATATTCCTCATCACTGTCCTCATCGCAAGTATCATCATCATTTACACTGCTGTATTTTGATTCTAACATCCCCGAATCATTAGAATTATCCTTTACATATGATCCTTCCAAATTCATCGACTTCTCTGAATCATCTGAATCGTCAAAAACCACTGATTTCCGTAAAGCAACTGAATCATCCGGAGACACATTCTTGCCCTTGTTCAAAGGTTCAACTCGGGGTCTTCCTCTACCTCGTACTCCACTATTTCTCCCATTATCGACCCCTAACAAAACTTCATCAACATTGTGGAACCCGCGTTTCTTACGAGCAACACTCCCTTCATTTGGAATCGACTCGGATTTGGATATCGAACAAGAGACATTTGAGACAACATTTTCGCTAACAATAGGCTTATCATCAACACCATCATTCTTACCTCTTTTATCCAAATTTCTCTTTCCCTTTCTTTTAGCCCCATTTCCCAAAATTTCCGAACTGGAACCTTCATAAGCCTTCTCTCCCGTCCCAGAAATCTCATCATTCTTGGGATTCACAGAGTATGACTCCTCATTATCACCCACATCACCAGTATTCTCACTAATGGTGACCCCTTCATCTCTACCACCATTACTAAAACTTTCTTGAGCCCTTTTCTTCTTCGTCTCATTGTGCCAATTTCTATAAAAGTTAACCAACTGGCCTCTGGTTCGACTGGCTACAGAACTCAAAGAAGTATTACCACCATGCATCTCTCTCTTCTTCCTACGTAATAAATTTATAACTGGCAATATCAATTAAAAATCACAAGCATAGTTCGATATCCAATTCCTCTATAGTGATAGAACGCACTTTAAGAACTTCCAATTGGGGATGACATCTCTCAACAGGACTTGATTATTGTAAAAACGTTAACGGCCTCAAATCGATTCTCCTTCTTTTGCAACCTGCAACTTCCTCATCACTGATAGTCTTCTGATAGTCTTATTCAAAGAAGTTTTTTAGGCGTGCCCGCAGGTTTTGCACGGAGAGAGTCCTTTAAAGACACAATTCCTTGTACGTGAAGAGAGAGAGAGAGAGGAGACTACTGTTACGTCCGAATATAAAGGAGAATTTGAATAATTTTATGTAAATATAATAAATATCTTTAATACCAAAATTAAAAGGAGTAATGATTTCTTTACTTTTACCAAATATGTATCGTTTCTAGTTCTTGGCCGATTTCAGTAATTAAAGTGGACCCCATAAGGATTGTAGGTCATAAAGTGGTTAATTTATTTTTTTAGTGGATTCCCCTTTAACCTCTGTTTGTCTACTATTATTTCAAAAAATTATTTGCTACTGTAAGATTCTCTACTATACATTCACCCAATAAAATATTCTACACACAAACCAATAAAGTTACTTAAATTTCAAACACACATTCTCTAAAAAATATAATTCATTACTCTATTTTTCTCCCAATAATGAGAGACAAACACACCATTAATTTGTATGATATGTATGATGTACTTAAAGTTACATTTGACACGATAATTTGACCAATTGGTCGAGCTAGACAAGATAAATTTATGAGAAATAAGTTTTAAATGGTCGATCAAGTTGTGCATACATATTTTTGTTTACTAGACCCTTAAATGATTGCTCGTAGAATAGATAAATATGTATTTATATTTACTAATTAACTAAAACCCGTATTTATGTTTACTCACCAACTAAAACCCAAATTTATGTTTGGTCGAGTTGGATTAGTCGATAAATACGTATTTATGTTTACTCTTTATTCTATATATTACCCACACTACTTCTACGAAGACTATTGTGAAATAAACACAACAAAAATTGAATGGAATTGTAATTTGAAAATTGGGCTCTCTGTTATAAAACTAAAGCAAATTAGACAGATAGCGAAAAGGACATAAGACAATTGAGAAATAATTCTTCTTCTCACTTGTGAATTTTGGATGGGTAAAGCCACTTTAAAACGTTGAGAAAAAATTCTTCTTCTCCTTGATAAGATTAGATGGAAAGGTTGATTGTGTTTTAAACTGTTCAACGTTATATGTCTTATGTCAACCTCTCTGACACTATAGCATGATTATTTTTGGAATCTCTCTAGCATACTACAATGTCATCATAAACTAAGCCACTTGTTTTCTAATATCTTTTTACTCGTATCAGTTACATGACTACAGAAAAAAATTAATTAATTAATTAAAATTCAACATTTTTCATTGTTACATACTGCAAATTATGGTGGAAATTCAGAAACCAAGACTCCTTGTGGGGATGGCGATGAAAGCCAAGTATTGAGCCAAGGATCTCCAGTATGGAAGAGATTGATAAAAGTTAGGGAGCTGGTTGGAAGGTGGGAGAATGGGAAATATCGTTTTGGTGTGAGAAATGGTCATCTTTACCTTTCAGCGATAAGGTCGTTTAAGCTCACTCTCAAAAACCTTACGTATTTCAGTTCTTGAATGGTACTGCATGGAATCAAGCCAAATTGAGGAGCCGTTTACCACCAGACTTGAGTGAAGAGATGGAAATAATCACAACCTCTAAGAAGCCTGACAAATTATACTGGATCATCCACTCTTGAGGAGAAATTTCGATCAAATCATGCCTGGATATACTTAAGAAGAATAAATACTATACAATCTTCTTATAAGCAAATCTGCAATCAAGTTTGGGGTGAGTATTGCAGAAAAGAATCTTAAAAATCCAAAGCTCAATTCCAGCATTGAAAATTTGCAAAATAAGCACTCAGGCCCAGGAACTATCCTTACTGCTCTGCCTTCGCTCATTTTTGGTTTCTTTGGGTGGAGAGGAATGATTATTAGAATCACGAGAATGGAGAAGAAGAGAAATAAAATTCTATTCAACTTGTTAATTGAGGCTTACAGTAGACATATAAATAGACAAAAGAAAAATGGCACCAAAATGAACTAACACTCTAACAACCTAACTAACTGAACTGAATTACAATTAAAGGAAAAATAGAAGAATCTCGAATCAACTAGAAGGAGAGATGGAGCTTGAATTGAATTGAATCAATTCTGATATTCCCCCTCGAGATGTATTGTGAATATCTTTAACGGACATCTTAGACAACAAGGAGAGGAGAGCTGGAGCTTGAAGAGGTTTGGTAAAAGCATCAGCAAGCTGGTGTCGTGATCTAATTGGAAGAAGCTTGATAGTTCCTGCTGTTATTTTGTCCCTAATGAAATGGCCGTCGATCTCTATGTGTTTAGTCATCTCATGGAATATAGGATTGTTGGCAATCTGAATTGCGGCCTGATTGTCACAAAACAGGACATCAGGCGAAGTTGGAGAAGATTGAAAGTCCTTCAACAATTGAGATATCCATATGAGTTCACTAATGGTAGCAGCAAGAGCTCTATACTCCGCCTCAGCAGAAGAACGAGACACTGTGGTTTGTCTTTTGGCCTTCCAAGAAATTAATGAATCTCCAAGAAAAACACAAAAACCTATTGTAGATTTTCTGGTATCAATACATGAACCCCAATTAGCGTCAAAGAAAGCTTTTAACTTGATGGGGGAGGAAGAATAAGCTGGAAAAAATAGCCCCTAACGAGGGCTGTTCTTCAAGTAACGCAGAAGATGATGTACTGCCTTCATATGTGGTAGGCGAGGTTGAGACAAAAACTGACTTAATTTGTGGACGGCATAGGTGATATCTGGTCTAGTTATAGTCAGATATATCAATTTTCCCACCATCTTTCTGTAAGAAGTGGCATCAGACAGTAAATCACCTTCATGTAAACTGAGAAGTGATTTAGGATCCATAGGAGTGCTGACTGGTTTACAATCTAAGTATCCTGCATCTTCCAGCAACTGCAGTGCATAATGCCTTTGAAAAATTACTATCCCTGACTTAGACCGAGCACTGTCAATCCCAAGAAAATACTTTAAGCATCCTAAGTCTTTCAGCTTGAAATGTGAATGTTGAAATGACTTAAGAGATTCAATCACTTGAGAGTTTGGGCCAGTGATGACTATGTCATCCACATACACTAATAAGGCCACAAAATTATCACCTGAACCTTTTGTGAATAGAGAATAGTCGGCCTTTGACTGGATAAAACCATATTGAAGAAGTGCTTGTGAAAATTTAAAATTCCATTGCAGGCTAGCTTGTTTAAGCCCATATATGAACTTATGCAATTTACAAACTAGCTTGCCTGATTGCTGTGCACTCCTCTGAACAATATAACAGGGGGGAATATCCATATATACCTCCTCAAACAAATCACCATTCAAGAAGGTGTTGTTTACGTCGAGTTGCACTAGATCCCAGTTGTTCGCTGATAATCATACCGCAAGCGCACGGGTCGCGTTCAAGTAATAAAGTGGACCTTAAGAGTCCGGATTGTCGATCCCACGAGAAATGTATACTTTAGATTACGCACTCTAATCGATTTTAATTCTAACGACAAAAGAAAACACACACAATTAAAAACATGATTTAAAAAGCGGTAAATAAACTAAAAATCTACAAAATAAGAAAATAAACGTCTTGGCAATTTAGGAGGAAAAAACGTGGTTGGAATTTACGATGTCTCTTAACCTATTGTTTCATTAATATCAAATCAATTATGCACTGATGCAAATTACCAAAATGCGATAGTTAGACTCGATTTTCCTGTTTTACATTAATACCCTCTTTCGAGTGCATATTAACCCTAATTAATTAGTTCATACCACATATTTCTATGTCGATACAAAGTTAATCAATTGCATGAATTTCTGTGAAAATAGTTCAATGGATCACATGAGGTAGGTGTATATTTCTATATCACCTAGACGCGCCTAGAACACCAAGCAAACCCATGGTATCGATCATTTCGGTCTATCAAATGCAACTATTTTTCAATAATCATATAAATACCTAATTACAACATCTATGTCATCACAAAAATAAAGTAATCTTAAACATGATGATCAATACATTATGATTATGATAACAACTTCATTTTTCACTAAACATGTAGATATATCAATAATTAATGAAACTAATTAGGTTAAGTTCAATCATAAATTTCAACACAAAACACTTAACTCATTTTATACAGATGAAAACAAAGGAGATATTCATCAAATACATTAAAGTTTGACAAATAAAATGAGAAAATGTAAGATTTAAAGATATAACCATTGATGATTAAGCTTGAACTTGCTTCCTCCAAAGTTTTGCCAATTTCTATGGTGTCTCCTCCCTTGTGCTCTATGATTTCTCCTCCAAATGAACCAAGAACACAACAAAAGAAAAGAAAAGAAAGGAGAAAGAGAGAAAAAACTAGAGAGAAAATAAAAAGAAAAAAAATAAAAACTAATCTAATCTATCTCTCTAAAAAAACGTCCCCAGCCATTTAATATATATAGGATAGATATTTTGGTTGCTTAGTCAAGAAGAAATCAAAATATCCTAGGGAAAATTGCAACTAAAGTCCCCAAACTTTTGAAAAGTGAGCAAAATGGTCCCTAAACTTTGATCTTGTACAATTTGGCCCTTGAATTTTGATTTTCATTTCAATATTGCCATGAATAAATTGCATCTCAATGTCTTCCAACTTTCGACACTTGTGCAACTTGGTCCCCAACTTCACATTTTTGTACATTTTTAGTCATTTTTCTTCCTTTTTCGCCTCGTTCTTCTTCCAATTGGGGTTTTAACCTACGAAAGTGAAAATTACATAATTATGCATAGGAATATACTCAATATCATTTCTAA